TTGATGTGAATATTCTTTGTATACAACCAGAAAAAATAAATAAGTGGATGATGAGTTGGAGCCCAGAAAGGTCATGTGATAAGACAGTGGCTAATACAAAGAGACTTTCTGGTACTTAAATAGAACTGGGAGTTGGGGGCAGACTGTATGCTTGCATTTCTCTCACTAGCTATCTCTGTGTACAGTGGGTTAGATTCAGCAAAACAAATTCAAGCTGTTATGTTAAAAATCATCATGTAATTTGGATTTTGTTGRTACTGAAGTTTTGTCCATATTTAATTTTTATAGGCTTGGTTTTTCTACCTAACTATAATCTGCACATATTAAATAAATTGAGTCAGTAATGGGGAAAAAAGTAAAATAAAATTTGAAAAGTGGGGGACTGGGGATGTGACTTAATGGTTAAGTACCTCCTGGGCTCAATCTTTGGTACAATAAATAAATAAATAAATAAATAAATAAATAGGTCGTGCTAATGTTTAGCATGTATTTAAATGTTCAAAACACAATTGTGCTTTTTTTGTTTGTGTAATTGTAGTGCTGGGGATCAAACCCAGGGCCTTGTGCATGCTAGCCAAGTGCTCTCTCTGAGCTACACCCCAGCCCAAAGTATTGACAGCTATGTGTTCAATAGTGAACTCAAAGTATGAGAAATAGTGTACCCAAGGGGAGAGAGAGGAAGATTGATTTACTCTTCTTAAGTAGARAAGCATAAAATCTGAAGGGAGACCACCCATAAAGAGAGTTTTCCCCTTACAAATAGTGTTGTGTTGGGTCTCTATAGCTTTTATTTTGCCCCCCCCCCTTTTTTTTTTTAAATCAAATGAAATAATGGAATGGATAATTGAGAAGAGTGTGAAGAAATACCTTCTCTTTGATTTACTGGATAGAAAGTTGAATGAGGAATGATTTCCAGAGAGCTAAGGTTTGAATAGCTAACAGCTAAGAGGTAAACTACAGAAGCTTTTGACACCAAGTGCCCTCCAAACAAAGAGCAAGTCCCAATATAGATTCCATTGTCACTACAGTCTCTGCATTCAGTTACAGTTGGAATAAACCGGTAAAGAAAAAGGTTAGAGATACCCAAAGAAAGTGCTAGAAACAGAAGGAAATTAAGGAAAGCCCAGACTGGCAGCCAGCGCAGCTGCAGAAGGCAGATCTGGTCACAATTCCCTCCCTAATCAATTCAGTGGCCACAGGAAGCCTCTTTATGTCAACACACCTCCATTTTCTTACCTTTCCAGGTTGTTTGCAGTTCCTACAGATCTTAAGTCTTCACTGAGAACCAGCTACTTTACTATTAGTAAGGTTTAATTGTTTAAATCAGGAATATATTTGAAAGTTGYAAAAAGATAGAAATCTAGTGTCATCAATCTATGGAACTTAAGCAATAACTTCAACTGACTCTGTAAAATGTCTAACTCTAAGAAGATCAGATCACATGACTACAGCATTATTTGTAGAGAACATATTTGAATAACATAGATTGAGAGCTCCTGAAAGCTGGATTAACATTTACAAAGGTTGAATCTTCAAAAAGTAAGATCAGTGGGGCTGGGGTTGTGGCTCAGCAGTAGAGCACTCAACTAGCTCATGAGAGGTGCTGGGTTCGATCCTCAGCACCACATAAAAATAAATAAAATAAAAGGTCCTGTGTCTACCTACACTTAAAAAATATTTTTAAAAAATAAGATTAGGAAGTGACAAATTGCCACACCACTCAATCAACAGAAGTGGTTTTGCTGATGCACTTTTTTTTTTTTTTTTTTGGCTAACACTCTTTTAATCTTTTCTTTCTTTTTCTTTTTTTAATAGGTGAAGCCATTGTACTCTTTTGAATCCACGGAAATAATATACAATACTTTGCTCTTTAGAATGGCTTAAGTATCCCCATCTGGACAGTTGCTAAGGCTTCAGGAAAGASAGCTTTCTGGAGGCCAGGCTAACTTCACCTAGTAATGGGAGCTGTAGGTGTAACAGAGACATTACACCCAAATCCTTCTACTCAAACATTATTTTTCTTCTTTGACTTTGAAGGACATTTGGGGATATAGTGGGGAGGCCTCAAAACCACAAAACAGAAAACTCAGCTACCAATTTCTATTTTAAATGAGTCACCATTTCTTGGTCCTTTTCCCTCCTGAAAAACCACAATATATGGCCCAGCATCCTCCATGAGCCCAACAGCTCTGACGCTGACTTAGCTGAGGCTCACCGCCCACTTCACTAGCCCTGGACCAAGACGGCTATGAATCCCGAGAACTGTTCTTTTCTAGATCAATCTCTTTCTAATAYATCATTCTTCCTACACAGGACTACAGTGACCTTCAAGGTAAAATCCCAAGAATTTGGGGTACCACCAACAAGTGGTGACCTCCCACAGCCATCCTTAGGCTTTAAAACTGGAAATGACCTAAAATATTCTTGTAAATCAGACCACATCAAAATGTCATCACCCACACACCAACCACAGCTCAAGAACGTGTAGGCCACTTCCACAGAGAATCCATTTCCGCTTCTACTCTACTTGTCCTCAGGACCAGGTTGCAGAGATCAGTATGGGGATGCATGAGCTGAGTCACCCAGCCTTGTGCCTCAGACTGGATGAGAGGAAGACAGGCTGCCCACCCTTCCTGGAGCCCCACACAGGACATAGACACCCATGCAGATGACGGGGCATCTCCTCAACACACTCCACCCTCTGTTCCTCCCTCAGTGTGTGACTCCCTCCCTGTTGGTTTCTAAAGTGCTGCTCCTTTTTCTTCATCCAAGCTCTAGYATCAAGGTTTCATTTCCTCTGCCAACGTGAACAGATGGGTAGTGCTGGCCAAGAGCTGTCCTGGGAGGGATTCTGGGAAATGAGGAGTGATGGTGGTATGGGTGTCAGTTTATGAAGATAAAAAATTCTGGAGTTGGTTTGTCATGGTGTTACATGACAACGTGAGTGAACTTAACACCACTGAACGGTACATTTAAAAATGGTTAAGAAGGTAAAGTCTTTCTTATGTGTATTTTACCACAATAAAAACAGGAAGCTGGGAAATTCTAAAGTTACACATCATTGGGCATGGAAGGTGGGAATCCTGGCAAATGCAAACCATATATCAAGAGCTTTCAAAAACAAACAAACTAACCCACGCCAGGTGTGGTGGCACAAACCTATAATCCCAGCAGCTCAGGAGACTGAGGCAGGAAGATTGTGAGTTCAAAGCCAGMCTCAGTAATTTAGCAAGGCCTTAAGCAACTTAGTGAGACTCTGACTCAAAATAAAACTAAAAAGGGCTGTGGATGTGGCTCAGTGGTTAAGCACTCTAGGCTCAATCCCTGGTACCAAAAACCAAACCAAACCAAACAAACAAACCAAAAAACCACAAAATGAAACCTAGTAAACACTTGGTTGGGTGGGTTCTGCCTAGATTTTCCCAATCTGCAGCTTTGGCCCCTCACTGATATTGAAAGAGGATGGAACAGTGGGATGATTCCCCAGAATCCTGAGGTTTTAAAAGGTGAGAAAGTGTCTGCACTACAGAGTGGAGGGGAAGGAGAAAGATTAGGGCCAAGGGACAGTGCACTCTCAACCTTGTGCATGTTAGACAGCATTCTGACACTGATCTACACTGATCAGGGCCATGTGGAACCTTACCTTCTCTCTGAAGCCTTCTCATGTGTCTCAGGAAAGTTGATTCCCTTCCCTGGGTATCTCTATCTGAATGTGGAGGTCCTACAGCAATTCTCCAGGATCCCTACTTTATTTCTGAGGTTGGTTTCTGCACTGTCACCAACACAGTGACATGAGCTATCTCTGACTGGAGAGAGAGAGAGGAACAGGAGTTCTACTTTCACATTTCCTTTGGCTTTAATCTTCTGTATGCTTAGGTGCTGATGCTAATGTCCTAAACCATGAACTCACCGAGAGTAGCTCTCCTGACTTGCCATCCCAGCAATCAGAATCTAGACAACCCTCCTGTGCATAATGACTGAGGATAAGAAAGGAAGAGGACATGAACTGGGGAAGCTTCTGATGAGCTGAAGCTGGGGACTGGTGTGGTGCAGGGCAGTGAGAAGAAAGGTGAGCCTCCTGGAGGCTCTCAGGGATCAGGTTTCCACATTGCAGTTCAGTCCAGCCAGGAATGGGATCACTTAGCACTTCCCAGGACCCAGGGACACTCATCCATCCTGGTACCAGTCCCAAAATTGGCACAGACCTGTAGGAGGGCATCAGAAGAGATCGTATCCATCGGAAAAAACTGAAGTTGGAGGCTAATCCTGCAGGGAAGACAGACATGTAAATATTTATGAAGCTTCTACATAGGCATCTAGAGTTGCAATTTAATCATGTGAATGTGCACCTCAACAAACACACACACACACACACACACACACACACACACACACACCATAAGCACAGTTTTCCCCTCTTTGTTGTAATACTGCCTGAGGCAGCCTATTAAGGACTTTGTACCGATACGTAGCTTCCAAATTTTTTTTCTAAATTATACTTCTGTCTTAGGAGTTCAACATTTTGTATAATGCTTTTAATATTATCCATATTATTAATTTTTAATAATATTTTTAGATTTACACCAACATGTGTTGAATGCATGCTATGAAATCTCCCCCACAAGACCACACACTCTTTGAGAGTAGGGAACATGTTTCTGTCATCCTTGCAACACTCAGAGGATCTGGCCCTTGGGAAGTTTTCAGCAGGCATTAAGCGAATCACACAGCTCAACATGTAAAAATGTTAGAACTGAGGCAGGAAGTGAGACTGCTATTGATACTGGCCAAATAATTCTCATATTAAATACACTGATTGGAATAGGAGTTCTTAATTCTTTTTTTTTTTTTACTACTAGAACTTTGTACCTCTATACTTGTACGTTGTAGTTGAGTTCATCCCAAAAAACTCATACATACATGGAAATCAATTTCAGTTCATCATCCCCCCTTTTTCCTTCCCATTCACCACATCCCCCATTCTCCTTCCTCTACTTGACTTCCTTTTGCTTGTCTATTTATTTCTATATGGTTATCAATCTTTTTTAAAAACCCATCCTTTCTTTGGTGTAGGTTTACAAAAAAAAATCTCACATAATAACTTTTATATAACTTTGGAAAAACAAATCAACCCTAATTTTAGAAAATATTTTTTTAATTATATATAGATACATAGTGGGAAATTGATTAATTAGATCATGTTCACTATAGGATCAGGAAGTTAGCATTATTTTAAGAGGCTTACATTAGAATCTTGGTTAATGTCAACAGTATGCAGTTGATAATATGTTTACTCTGTATCATTTAGGGTTCTTGAGATTAAAGGAAGCATAAATTTTATATTTATGCTAAAATCAGAAATAGCAAAGGGAAGATTCCTAATATACTTAGCAAGTCAGTACATATTGTCAGAAGTCAGAAAGTAAAAATTACCAAGGTGAAGCCCTGGACTGGCGTGGCCGATGTAGAGGTACACGATGGCAGCCACACCAACGTTAGCCAGGGTATAGACCCACTGGATCACAAACACGATGAGAAGGGACCCAACTGCCTACAGGAACAGTTGGAAGACAAGTTACCTAACAGTTTTCCATATGGTAAGCAAGTCAAGGGCATGAGAAACATTAGTCTCTCTCATCAACTGATCACTGCCAAAGTCTGAACAACTGAAGTTCACTCTTAATTCAAGAAACCTCACTTAAGTACATATTTGGGATAACAAATACTTCTGAAATTATTTAATCAAAATTATTCACAAACAGGTATCCTATCCTAGTTCCTTGTCCCATTCCTCCTCACAAGCAACATGTTTGTACGAACCCAATGTAACCCAGAGGTTATCAGGTATAATTATTTAGTAAGTAAATACTTGATTAAATAAGTGATCCATTAAATGTAAATCTTGCCAAATGTAGTCTCATCTAAATTTCAATACAGAAAGCAATTAAATCACTTTGCTCCTAATTAGCCCTTTTCCTCCTCAAATCACACATCCTCTTCCTGAATTATTTTTCAAGATAATTGAGATCAAGATGAAGTTACTCACCCCTAACAGGGAGACCCAGGGGTTGCACATGCGGGTGTAGAAAGTAGTTGGTCTCCTCTGGATTTCTTGTTCCTGAAGTCTGGGCTTCAGGGAGAAGTCTAATAAATAAATTAGCCAAATCCTTGATTACAAATTTGCTACCCAACATTTTCATACTCTGCTATATTTATATATAAGCAAATATGCCTAAGTTCCTCTACCCCAATGTTATAACTCAGCCTGAAGACAACTCCTATCACTTGCTCTTGGAAAAGGGAATAAGAAAGGGTTAGTGGCCTCCTATCCACCAAGGATCTGATAGGAAAGGGAAGGGAGGGGTGGAGTAGAAATGGAAGCTTCCCTGAAACCCACTGCACATCCATTTAGATTTGCCATCTGGGGAAATGGAAGTTCACATCTCCCCTGGTATTCTTGGCCCTTAGATGTGACCACCTGCACAGATGGGTTGGGTTGGCTTTTGTCTACTGCAAGAGTGTTTTTGCTATCTGCTGACTCTGAAGGTAAGCTCAGGTCAGCCTCATCTCAGGTTTAGACCAGAAGATGAAGAAGGAGAAAGAGGAAGGGAGAATGGCTCCTTTGATTCCCTCTTCTGGTGGTTGAGGGGACTGAGGGGGAAAAGGGTCTGGTCATAAATACATGTATGGTCCCATTTCATCTTCCAAGGAGTTCAGGCACACTGGGGTTTCTCAAAAACATGCCAAGTATTATGTAGTTCTGCCTTCCTCATATACCTGGTTCCAGAAATGATCAATTTAATCATGAAAATGCATATAGATTGTTTAGCAAGATGGTCTAACTACCGTGAATGCTGCAATGGTGATTTCAAACAAATGGTATGTTGGATTAACTTTGCTCTATGTTTATACTGTGAGAAATAGAAAGTCCAGTGGTCCATTTTCAGAATATAGTCTTTAGTCTTAATTGGGATAGAAGAGTCAATTGTAGCCATTTTAACTACAGCCCTTCCCTGTGYCCATCCCAATTTTCAAATTAGCCAATTGCATAGATTGTAGCCCTGAGCTCCTCCTATCAGAGCAAGGGGAAGTGCTGTGTTAGGGATAAAAACAGGCAGACTTCCTGCCCAAGTGTGTTTGTTTGCCAGACTTTGTTTAGTAGCACACCCTCCTGCAGAAGTAAAGTTGGCCTTGCTGAGCTACTTCTGAGTATGTGTTTGATTCCTTGTAGCCCCCGGGTATTTCTAACAATACTCATTTCAACACTAAACCTTCATAGTTTGTTGCTCAGGAAATATGGTTGTCAGCTCCCTAACTCTCCATTCTCCAGTCCCAATTCCTGATATAGCAAAAATACTTTGAGTATGCCATCTCTTCCATCCAGCCCCTCCCCGCTGTGTGGCGTGACCCTGTCTCAAGTAGCAGTCTTCTTCTGCATCTCAGCTGCTTCTGAGGGGTTGGCCCTAGGAATCCAGCTGCGATCCATTTCGCATGGATCCCCTAACCCTCAACTTGCCTAACTCCTATTCATCCCTCAGATCTCAGCTCAATATCACTTCCTCCCAGAAATTGGTCCCCACCACAGAAATCTAAATTTGTTCCTTCATACCATTAATATTTCCTTATGATCCATTTTCTTTCCTTCATAGAACTCACCATTATTTGTAGTTGTATGTTTATTTATATACTTCTAGGTCCATTGGATTACAGGGTCCATGTCTGTCTTAAGTGCAGGCCTTGGCACCTAGCTGGCATTCATTAAGTATTCCTATTACAAATCTTCCTTCCTCTCTGGTTACTGCTGACTTTCTGACCTAGCCCCCTGAAGCACATTCCTTCAGATTATTTCACTCCCTGCCCTTTATCATTGCTGATCTTTCCCAACTTCCTGTTTACTCCCCCTTCTCTTGGTCCAGGTTTCAGCCCCTGACTCAGCATCTTTCTGTCTCTACTGGGATGGATGACAAACCAGGCCTGGATGGAAGGAACACTGCCAAGAAAACTAGTGCCTGGGAAAGGGAGAGTTCCCCTGGCCTTTAGTCAGTCCTTCTTCAGGAAACCTAATCAACCCCATAGACCACTACCTTTTGGATTGTAAGTAACTACATCTAGGAATCTCCTCCCCTTTAAAGTGTAAATGCCCCTGTTGAGGCTCCTGGCTCAAGCTCTCTGGAGGCCTTGTGAGAGGAGCCAGTTTCCCCCTTATTGCACTGTAGCCGTGGTTCCTGCTAGAACCCCATGCACACAGCCTTCTATGGTGTACACTAGAAATGTTCTGGCACCAGAGAGCCTATAAGTGCTGTGAGAAACTGGAGATGAGGGCTCAGAATTTGGAGTTTGGTCTCCTCTCGGCCCACCAGTGTAAAATAAAGTTTGAGTTCTTCCATACTTGGAGTGCTATTTGCCACTTCTTGACTGGTCTGATTCCTGCAATGCTACAACATAATCATTCTTGGTGACTTCATGGTGCTTTCTACATAAACAACTTACTTAATGCCCTGTTTTCTGAGTTCCTTCAAGTCCTCCTCTAACAATCTTTTTAAAGTTTTTATCTTGGCAGGAATCAAATCCAGGGTCTCATACCCACTAGGCAATCTCATACCACATCCACAATCCCCCAATCCTTCATGTGTCTCAACTATACTATCAACTATCAACTAACTATCAACTCCCCTCAGTCACACTTGAGGCTCATCATCACCAGTAACTTTACATTTCTTATACGCAATTTTTGGTTTGTTGTACAGTTTTCCTTGAAACACAATTCTTCTGAACAGATTTACTATATCAGGGCAATTATACAATTTTATATATCTTGTTTATTCTTGAAATATCACTCTTCAGAAAGAATGTACCAGAAGGACTTCCAGTTATGGCAGTGTGAAGAGGCCAGTAAATTTTCTTCCCCCCAAATAAGTACAAAACGAAACAAAGTAGTCAAGCACAACCACTTCAGGGCTCTAGAAACTTACCAAATGAAGACAACAAACTGAAAAGCATCTATTTGTCAAAAATTGCTGAAACTAAGGGTAAGAACAGTGAGAGTCTCTGACCTTCCTGCCCAAGCAGCTCCCTTTCCTGTCCCAGTTCTTACCAGTATGGAGCTGGTCAGACACCAGCAGTTTTGCTGCCAAAGGGAATAAATAACTTGGATCAGGGGTGGGGGAAAGCTACCCTTGTAAGTTGAATAGTATAAGTACAGTAGAAAAATGGACAGGGAAGGTCCTTAGATTTGCAAGCATGAGGGTACAGACCCAGCTAGGATGATCAATAGACCAGCCAGAAATGTAATGGAGAGAGCCTGGAGGTGAGAAAGCCATGAAGGGTCTAAATAACCTCCCATATTTTCCTGAATGACAGGAAAACAATGTCCATGACTGGGAAGACCTGAGAGAGCCTGGCAAAAAGTAAAAGCCAGGGGAGACAAGAACTGGCTGAAACTTCGTGTTTCCTAGCCCACACACAGATAGACTAGCAGAGAGTGGAAGCTTTATGAATTATACAGACACAGGGGCAACCTCCTAAGAAGCTCGTTAAAATGAGAATAAACAACTGACTAAAGACATCAGCAGCCACATACCACAGGGAGATGGATTCCACAGTTCAAATCCAGGCAATTTACAAAAACACACGAATGAAAGCGAAATATAAAAACTCAGAAATAAACATCAGAATCAAGAACTGCTGCAATTTACCCACACTGTCCAGTTTTCAACCAAAGATTACAAGACATGTGATGAAACAGGAAACTGTGACCCATTCTCAAGACCAAAAATAAAAAATAAAAATTAAAAAAAGAAAAATATGATATGCTGACTGTGCATTAGTCCTACATGTTATATTTGGCACACAAAGACCTCAAAACAGTCATTTTTAAATATGTTCAAAGAATTAAAGAAAAATACAATGTCAATGATCCAAGGCAAATATGATGACAATGACTTTTAAAATAGGGAATATCAATACACAAATGTAAACTATTAAAAAGAACCAGAGGAAAAGTAAAGAGTTAAAAACCACAATATCAGAGATGAAAAATTTACTAAATGGACTCCTCAGCTGATTTGAGAAGGAGAAAGGATCAGCAAACTTGAAAATAGAGCAATAGGAATGATCCAAAGTGAAGAATAGAGGGGAAAGTTGGAAGGAAAAGGAACAGAGCCTCAGAGACCTACAGGACGATGTGTACTAACAAATGTACAATGGGGCCCCGTGGGGCAGCAGAGAAAGGGCAGAAAAAATATCTGAAGAAACAGTGGTCAAAATTTCCCAAATTGAAGAGAAACTTTAATCAATAGTTCTAGGAGGAGCATATCAGTTTTTTCCAGCAAAGTGTACATATACCTGATTTCCACAGACCTACCATTTTTAATCTAAATTTTGGTAACTTAATATATATGCAATGACATCATAAAAGTGATTTGCGCTCATTTCATCAATGAACACATGGCCTAATTCATAAGAAAACACAGCAAGTGTCATAAACTTTGTATAGAAGTTAAGAGAACAGGTTTAAAGCCAGATAAATCTGGGTTCACCTTCTGTCTTGAACAAGTGCCMAACTTCTCAAAGTGTTTTATTATCTGTAAAAATCTAACAATAATGCCCAACTCTGAGCTTAGGAATGAAATAATCCTTATCAAGGGCTTACTTGGTAGTAAGATAGATAGGACATACTTGGTAAATGATGGCTATTCCTAGTTCCTAACAATATTTAGTTTGTTCAATGAACATGAATGAATCTGGGGACTGATTTTTTTTTTCCAAATGTAAACGTGTATTCATCTCCCCTGACCTCTTTTTAGAATCTGGATTTTTATTTTCCTGTGCTTTTTAAAGAAAATGCTTTGGAAGTTGTGCTTTTATCAGTTGTGATTGTCAGAATAATCGTTTCCTTCTGTGACACTGTGTTGTTTAAATGTTTTTTATTTCTATTTAATCAGATCCATTTTGTCTTTGATGATGTCCACAATAGTCAGAAATCTCTCTCTTGTGCAGCTGTTATAAATAAGCAATCCATGCATATATAAGGTACAGTTCCAAGCTATTTTTTAATCCATTTGCTCTCAAGAATGATTTATTCAACTGTGATTTGATGACATCTGGGTTGTCAAAGATTAGGTTCTTATAACAGTTTAACTTTT